ACACATCTTCAAGTTGCCAAGGTTGAGAAACACTGGTCTAAATTGTCTAAATTTTAGAGGGTTAATAGTCTTTAACCAACACTGTACAAATACCACTGTATTAAAACAACATAATGTATTATGCAAGTTTTACAACAATATAATAGAAAAATTACTATTAAAAAACCTCAGTGATGCTACTCAACCACAATACACACTTTGAAAAGAAAGGGAAAAAATGGCGCCCTCTTTTTCACACTCTGCAAATTGAAATGTTGCTGCCCTCTTGAGGGCCTTGCCCACAGTGGATGGAAAAGTCACTGAATGACTTGTGCAAGCAGTCTTTGAGGGGGTGGGTGGGGGTGGAAATCAATATTTGAGGAAAAGGAGTGGGTAGCCATGGGGTGGGGACTGGCGCAGATCTCACACGCATGGCTAGGAGTTACTGTTTCTCCTTGGGTTCTTTCAGGGTTCTTTCTCCTTGGGTTCTTTCTAAATCATGCTGAACACATTTCTGGATTTCACTGCAGTCTTCCTGAATTTCCAGCCTTGAAAGCAGGCTGGGAGAGGGGTAATAACTGTAAGAGGAGAGCCACATCAGTCCATGGTAGCCCCAGATCAGGAGGAGTCTGGCAGAACCTTTCCCAAGTAACAAAGCAGAAGCTTTTGTAAGCTGCAGCTCCCTTCATCACAGGTCAGAAATCAGGATCCAAAATAAGGGCAAAGTACTATCAGAGCATTTTAACCTCCCAGGACAGCCCACTACAGATCTCAGAATAACTGTTCTGGGGCAAAAAACCCCTTTTTCAGCGCAATTGAGAAGGCGACTGCTGGACATCCAATGGTTTCAGAAGTGGGTTTTTAATACATGAATATTGTAAATTGATGATGTGCTTGGAACATGTCTCCCATGTGGCCTGCATCTGTCTTCCCCTCCCTTCCGCCTGCACCTCATCCCGGTTTAAATCCTATATCGTTTTAGCCCTCCATGTATCTTACGAAATGAGCGCATAAGAGCTTCTGCCTTTTAATAAGGCAGGTGTTAGCTGGGCTGCTCCTGACTTTGGGGAGACTTAAATCCAAAGTACAAAGCCAGACCGAGCGGTCCACTCATTATGCTCCCTCTCTTTTGGCAGACCTGAATTAAATCCCCCCCCCCGCCCCCGGCAGCCAGGTTCTCACCTCTTCTGGTTTCGCCAAGAGTGGGCACAAGTCCTGGGATTCGTCCATCATGCAGATGTCCTTGGTGGCGTAGCCGTTCACGCAGTAGGCATCGTAGCCCGCCCCAATTAGCAGAGAGCATAAGAGGACGCTGAAGTCGAAACAGTTTCCCCGCTGGTACCGCAGGATGGTGGTTGGTGAATACAGGTAGCTGGGCTAGATAAAGAAGACATGGATCCTTCAACCCACATGCCTTTTTTGCGTTTCACTGAGGCTTTAATTCTCTGCATCCTTGGTCTGTTGTTTATTCCACTGTGTAGGTGTTACACATCTGTGCTTTAACAGATACTTTGATACACTGTTTTTGCCCCCAGCTTTAATTTTATTGTAAACTGAATGTTTCTAACGGAAAGGAATATCAGTGATTATGTAACCTTAGACCAGTGTTGTCCAAACTTGGCCGCTTTAAGATGAGTGGACTTCAACTCCCAG